CGGTAGAATGGGCCCGTTTTCGGGATGAGAGAAAGATATGTAGAAAACAAACCTACAATATCCCGAGGATTATTTTTGTCTTCCCACTGTATTACTTTTTTTGGTTCTATCTTTCTATGAAAAAAACCTCCCTGATTATTTTTACTGATACGGCCATAGAATGTAAGGCATTTTTTCTTTTGAACAGAATCCGTTACTACTTCGAATTGTGTAGCATCAAGATCACGATGCTCATCCATGCCACGAAAACCAAACAGTTTACAGTTATAATAAAATACGCCATAGCTTAAGCCCTCTGCAGAATCTAAACTTATTACTCCTTTACACCATAAAGTGTCTTCATCCTGTGGTGAAATGGCATCTGCTCTTTTTTTGTGAATACCTGTATGAAATAAATGTGTTTACAGAGAATTTGGGTATAGGTAAATGAAACAGCAATCAAACAACAAAATTAAAAAAGTCACCTGGGGCGGGCGGGGTGGGGTGGGGTACATACTTTCTACAATAATAGACATGCATACACATAATATTCTTTAAAGGCATAAAAAGAATCATGGGTGATTTTAGCTTTTGTAAAACAACTTTTATCCTTGTTTCAGGATGATTCATTTTACGGTAAATATTAAAAGGAAAATGTATTGCTTAATCATCATCAATAGTAGGTATGTAGGTATGCAAAGTGTAAAATTGGTCTTTTAAATAACACGCGCGAATCAGATAAACATAATCTGTCTGTGAGACATAAACCCAACGACTCAAAAAGGTCAACATACGTATTGATACTTATACATGTAGTATTAGGTTAAATAGATGTGGCATACAAGATTGATTGATTGATTGTGAATTGTTTATCTTTCAGTGGCAAATAGTTCACGCATATTCCAGACGATGGTATAATAAGAAAACGCCTTAATGATGAATAATTTAACTAGTCTAAAGTGGCACAAAACAAAGGATTGATTTAAGTTTTAATGATTTAAAAAAAAACGATTTGGGAATATGTAGTTCTATCAACTGTTCAAACTAGAATACTGGTTCCTTGCCTATGTGATGTGATTTCCTAAAATATTACGAATTATACATTTTATGATATAGATGAACATACCTAGACCAGCAGCTGTTACTTCTTTCATTCTGGTGTCAAGAGCCTTCTGGAATGTTGGGAAATCCACGGAGTTTTTCTGTAGCAAATTAATTTCAGATCTTTTCATCTCTCGCAGATGTCTTTGAATTCCGGCGGAAATGTTCAAAAGGGTGTTAGGTGGGTAAGGTGTCCCGTCTTTTCGTCGGGTTTCCATGATAAATCTGGATAACCAGAAGTCCAATTCTTTTATAGTAGCTGTTTCTGGGTCAACAGGCACACAAGTAAACTCCTCAAACCCAGTCATTGGATTGCAGTTTCTGTTTTCCGCCCAACCTTTCCACACATTCATAGACCAGCTTGTTGATTGTTTTGTTTTTGTTGGGATTCTGTCACTAATTCTTTGTTCTAGTTCCTCTGATAGAACTGGTTCTGCAAATCGACTTGAAGCAGCAGCATTACGGTTTGAAAATACCAATTTTTGTGTTTGGATTGCATATAAATCACTTAATTCCCAATCTGTATCTGTACTATTTAACAACTCAAAATCTGGCATATCGGTGTTATTCATCATGATCCAAATTGAAATGACACGGAGCTACGATATTAATACTGAGTAGATTTTTACAAAAACAAAACAACTCTCTTAAATTTACTAACATCTAGTCACACTTACCTTGTTAGATGATTACTTTTTACTGACCATATGATCAACTGACCATCAATTACACCAATTTAACAATCACTCGAGTTGTGAATATGTGCTAAATTGGATAGTGTATGGAAAGGTATATACTATGAAATTAAGAGCTCGGGGCAAGCCCCTCGCTCTAAATTTCATAGTATATACCTTTCCATACACTAACCGAGACTTGTCCTAAAGCTAGGTTTTTAAAGTAGGACTTCGTCATATTTCAATATGAACAATACTTACATATTAAGTATATGTAAGAGAATGATAATTCCTTTCTTCATGATTAAGTACGAGCGTTAGCGAGTACTTATCATGAAGTAAGGGATTATCATTCTCTTACAAACTTAGAATATTGTAAAGTGCTCAAGGCTCAAATGATCTATTCAAGAATTAGTTTCATTGTCAGTGCAATGTTTATAATTGATGCATGACTTCCTTTTTGGGCATGTCATTTATGGATTAGTTTTAGTGATGTAAGGACTTTCATATCATTTGGGATTTTTTTTTTTTAAAGCGTTATAGATATTAGGTGACACAACAGTAGAAAGAAAAGGTAGGAATTGGATATGTTTCTTGATTGTGAGTATGAATGTAAATCATGTAATACTTTAGTGAGGAATTATCCTTGTTTTATTTACAGTTTAAATCAATTAATACATTTGAGTTACAACTAAATTTTATTTCACAGCCAATATTTTGGGCCGGCTTTTTACATCAAATAATATTTCATTATTTCAGGGAGATGTTCAAAAATAATGCCTTTAAAATTTTTTAATATGTTCAAAATTAAATTCCTGTTTTTTTATCGGAATATTGGAAATAACTATTCTTCCCAACCACTGATCAAGTAATCAAAGTTTTGGAAAGCTAAAGATTTAGGTTATTTTTTTATCTGAAAGATTTTTTTTCTTTTTTTGCTTTGCTTTGGTATTGTTTAATTTTTTTTTATTAATTTGAAAATATTGATATTTTCATAATAACATTCACGGTACAAATTTTACTGCACCAGTATTTTTGTTTGTTTCACAATTCAACTTTTAGTCAGTTTCAATCACTGTGTGATAAATCCTTCCAATCTGATAAATGTGCTTCGGGCAGTTGTAACTCGTTTATAGAAACTCTTTGTTTTGAACTGTAAATAGACCCAAATAATAGGATAATCCCTTACTAAGAACATGATTTACATTCATTCTTCACAATTAAGAGACATCCAATTCTACAATTTCATTGGTCGAGAGCACTTTGCTATATTCTAAAGGAATATATATTACTCATTTGTTTACAAAGATCGTGATCGCAACTTTTCCTATCATTTTAACCTATAAAATTTATATGCCGAACGCACGTGTTGTGAGCGGTATTTTTACATGTATTTAAACGGATAAATGTAATATATCTGACTGAAATGATAACCTTTGTTCATCCACACCATCATCCGAGGTTGTATTACAGTCAAGATCTCAGTTACGCAGGATCGAAGATATTCGAAATTGAACTGAGAAAGGACATACAATTATTTCCCCCTCTTTTTTTTTAAAAATTGAGGGTACAATTTTTTTGCACTCGATTTTCGCTGATTTAATACATTTTTCAGCCATCTGTACCTATATACACTAATAGATAAATGGTTTTTCTATAATTTTATGTGCCTTGCAATGATCAACGATCTTTCTGAGTCTAGAAAATCCATTTTTTTTTTAGCTTGCCGAGAATGAAAGAAGAATGTATTAAATGTTTAAAAAAAAAGTGGATTATCTAGACTGAGAAAGGTTGTTGATCATTGACACATGAAAATATAGAAAAACCATTTATCTATCGGTATATATAGGTACAGATGGCTGAAAAATGTATAAAATCAGCGAAAATCGAGAGCAAACATGCGAATCTCCTGTTTTGAATGGACACTGCTTTCTGGCTCTATATTGCAAAAAAGTAAATAGCAAAATCAATAAAGAGCAAATGGAAATTAAGAAATATATGCATTATACGGACAGAAGAATTCGGTCTACTAATACTCCAGTGTTACTTGTACTGAATATGGATACACAATTTTCCGACCTAATTTTTCCTTGCCAACTTTTTAATGGCAATTTCTTAACTATAAAACTAAACGTACATTGTACTAAGAAGTGAGCTTTTTTTTCGTTTGACAATTTTTCTACGGTTATACTGGACTATTATAATAATCCCAGGGTTATAATTGTAGTTTTTAAATTGATAAATTATACAAACATTTTTATCGTTTAATACCATCATAATGACTCATGACACTGATATATTATGGCATTTATAGGATCTATTATTCATTAACACGTCGATGGTCAAACATTATTTTCAACTGTGTGCTAATTAAGTTAAAGGGTGTTTGGCATAAATTATCTCTACCCAGAATGCATCACAAAAAATTTGGCCATTGATTTTTGTTACTATGAATAGCAATCTCGCTCAAATCCCGTTTCAATCACAGTTGGAAGTACGGGGACAACGTGATCGCCTTACTATATAGCTAGCCCGGGGTCCTGGCTAATATTGTCAGTAAAGGCCCTTACGACGCGCAGCTAGATATCGGGCCGGGATGCCAGGCCAGGTTGCACACTTCGTCTAGTAATGGACTTCTGATATCATATATCGGCTTCTCTCAGTTTGTTGTAGCTTTTCTATGCACAACGTCCATAATTAACTGCATATACGGTGGTTATATCCTGTGTATATTCAAGTAAGCATGTACGATAAGTTTGCGGATTTTAAAAATATCATCTATATTAAAGTCATCAAATGAATATTGTTAGTTTTTGCATGTTCAATTATCCCATAATTCCACAATGAAAATTCATCGCACCTCCAAAAATCCAACATCAGAAATGATCGCAATTACAGTGCCGGATAATGCATCGCACTTATAGTTAAATGAATCGCTTTCAATAATCTATATTCTAGATACTGTTGCTTTAATAACACATCCTGTAAGTGATCACTGTAAAGTCATATTATAACGAAATTGTGTTAAAACATACATTCAAATCAATTATTTTGTATTTTCAAAAAGTAAACAAACGCAGTTTTTCCCATCATCCTTTATTCTACAATAGTAATCATCGCGTATGACAGTGAAAATGAACTATCTGGATTCGCAGTTTGTATACACTGATTGTAGACAACTCAAAACAAGTTAAAACGATATATGTATTTAATTTTGCGCCTCATAAAAATTAAATAGAACAATATTTTACTTCCGCTTTATAATAACATAACCAAGGGGCTACTGAATAAGCGCTACATAATACATTTCAACAGAAGACATTTTTGATGGTAAATATGAAATATGAATTATTTTTTACTGAAAAAAGGTCAGATGCATGTGTACAGGTAGTTGTTTCAACTGGAATTTATATATGATTGTTCTGAAGGACAGCAATGACATATCTCGGAGTTTGGAATTTTAAAAATGTACAAATATTTCAATATTATCTTATTTTTTGTTTTTGTTAATTAATTTCTTTAAACTATTCACAGTATGGAATTGAAAAGTCAGCTTATAACATTTATTTTACACATTCTGTAGAGTAGAATATCTTTAACATTGTTCTCAAGTTATTTCTTTGTATCGATGATTTATTAAGTATGGGAGAGAACTTAGTCCTCACCTGTGGTAAACATTTAACTCGTTTTATCTATAGAAATGTATTGTGTTTTTTTCCTTTAATTTGCTGACAATCCATTTTTAAATATTAAATATACTTAAGATGATATGATTTGATCTGAACATTTTATCCTTATTTTAGAAGTTTAACAGCAATTTGGCTTTCTAACTACTAAACTAGACCGAACCATAATTTTGGCTGAAACACATGTTGTGCTATAATATTATCTTATATTTTGTTTTTGTTAATTAAATCTCTTTAAACTATTCACAGTATGGAATTTATAAGTTAGCTGATAACATTTATTTTACACAAACCATAGAGAAGAATATATCTTTAACATTGTTCTCAAGTTATTTCTTTGTATCGATAATTTATTAATTATGGGAGAGAACTTAGTCCTCACCTGTGGTAAACATTTAACTCATTTTATCTATACACATGTATAGATGTATTGTGTTTTTTTCCTTTAATTTGCTGACAATCCATTTTGAAATATTAAATATACTTAAGATGATATGATTTGATCTGAACGTTTCAGTGGCGGATCCAGAACTTTTCATAAGGGGCCCCCCCGCTCCAGTCATGCTTCAGTGATTCCCTATATAATCAACCATTTTTTTCCCCACAAAAGGGGGGCCCGGGCCCCCCGTCCCCCCCCCCCCCCCCCCCCTGGATCCGTCTATGCGTTTTATCCGTATTTTAGAAGTTTTACACCAATTTGGCTTTCTAACTACTAAGCAAGACCGAACCATGATTTAGGCTGAAACACATGTGCTATGATTTTGATGATTGATTGATTGACGAAAAGGTGATCCAACACAGAAAAACTTAAAACCGAACATCACTAAGCATTAAAGCGGACTAAACTAATTGTGTTCACGAGGGGAAACCAGTTCCTGTTCCACTTGTTGCATTTTTCTAATTCCTTATTGCAAGAAAAAAGTCTTGAACGAGGACAAAATTGAAGTGATCATTGTTTTGTGTGCTGCATCATTGAAAAAAGATTTAAACTACGACACAAATAAATTGTGTAAGATTGTACGAGTATGACAGGAACTTAAAATAAAATACTGTAAGCATTATTTTCACATTAAAACGAAATGAAATGGTTATCCATGTTATCCATGTTCAGTTTTTAGGGTCACCATCATGAATTGTTTTACTTATACGATGTCTATGTATCTCAACTCACAAATGACATGTTTTTACAGTCATAGATCTTAAAGGGGCATTGGCTACGAGATATCTATAAAAAAAAGTATTATTTTTGTTTTGTTCAATCAATAATGAAAGTGAAATAATGAAATACTAATTCGGGATTAGCAGCAGCTTGGTTCAATTTTGTCAAATTAAGATAAGAAACATCGCTGATGAATTATTCACTTGCAAGTGAATAATTCGACCTCATTGAATCCGTATTCATGTGATCTTCAATTTAACCCCTTAGCTGGAGACGGGTTACGCATGTCTTCAGCTATTAACAGGAAAACAATGTCAACACTGAAAGTGAAAAAAGGATGAACCATTTGGTTGACTGATTCGATCTACTAAAAATTATTCTTATACAGGTAAAAACGATGATAAACATACTATGTAACCTACAATATGAAATCAAACAGACCTAGAAAATATATTTCCACGTGGTCGCTATCTATTTATATTTATATTTATGTTATATCGGGTTATACGACCGTCGGCAGTCTTCGGAGGTCATCTCGGTGGATAATTAGATGACGTCTAGACAAAAATACACACGAAATGCTGATACATATTATCGAGTCCCTGTATTGTTAATTGTTTATTTTAGACTTTTTGTAATTTGGATATACGTTTTTTGTATGTTTTAAATCAAATGTGAGAATTTAAGTCAAATCGGTGAACATGCATGTGACAGCTAATGTCCCTTTAAGCTAATGGAACAGTCGTCTGATTTGTACGTTGATTGTGTTCTATTCCTTGTTGTGACATGTTTGACTAAATGTGGATTCGATTGATGGATAATGCATACATAGCAGGGGTTTACTCCTGGTTTGCCCACTTTTAATTACACCAATTATTTATTAGTAAAGAAAACAAAAAAGACAAAAGGTTTAATGAGCATACAATTATATAGTCTGTTCCAACTTAGGTATATAGTTTATCAGTGTTTTCTATATATATTCAGGTATTTTTTATTTTGTAATTCCATTTTCATAAATGTATAGATAAATTATAAATAAATCATATATTTTTTCTCTCAATAATTTAACATACATGTAAAATAATGACACTAGCCTGTTTTAAAAGTAATATAAAGTATATAAAAAAAAAACTAAACAAATTTCGTGTGCAGGGTTTTGGGGCCGCTGAAGGCCTGAAGAAGCTATAGAAGAATGTATGCAAAATCATGCATTCTGCGCATTTCCCAGAACCTTTCTTGATCAAAAATGCAAGTTCTATTTTAATTATTTTTTGACAATATTTTGGTCTCAAGGCAAAATATATAGTTTCAGTGTAATTCTTTTAGTTTTTAGGGACAAAATCAAAAGACCAATATGTAGGAGAAAGCAAAAACATGTAGTTCACATATAGTTTTAGGGATGTGGCTGCTATTTTTTTTTTAGATAAAAAATCCTTAAAAAAAATAAAAGTCAAGTTAAAATTTTTTTTTTACTAAAATACAAATGGAAAGCAACAGTAAGAGAATAAAGTAAATGTTCCTTAGACAATATACCTAAGTTAAATGAAACCCATTTTCAGACATTTGATTCAAGTAAATTAATATTTATACATTATATTATTTAAAGATTTGGGAAGTTTTCCCCTAATAAAATTGAGAATGGAAATGGGGAATGTGTCAAAGAGACAACAACCCGACCATAGAACAGACAACAGCAGAAGGTCACCAACAGGTCTTCAATGTAGCGAGAAATTCCCGCACCCGGAGGCGTCCTTCAACTGGCCCCTAAACAAATATATATACTAGTTCAGTGATAATGAACGCCATACTAAACTCCAAATTGTACACAAGAAACTAAAATTAAAAATAATACAAGACTAACAAAGGCTAGAGGCTCCTGACTTGGGACAGGCGCAAAAATGCGGCGGGGTTAAACATGTTTATGAGATCTCAACCCTCCCCCTATACCTCTAGCCAATGTAGAAAAGTAAACGTATAACAATACGCACATTAAAATTCAGTTCAAGAGAAGTCCGAGTCTGATGTCAGAAGATGTAACCAAAGAAAATAAACAAAATGACAATAATACATAAATAACAACAGACTACTAGCAGTTAACTGACATGCCAGCTCCAGACTTCAATTAAACTGATTGAAAGATTATGTCTTCATCATATGAATATCAGGCACGATCCTTCCCGTTAGGGGTTTAGTATCATACCATCATAACATATATGAGAAGAACATAACCCGTGTCATGCCAATAACTGGTTTTTAAATAAATGTGTTTAGTGCCGATGCAAAGACCCTATAAGTGAATCAATATTAACGCCAAAATATGCAATCTTTAATGACCTGACAACAGTATCGTAACTATATCCCTTCTTAATAAGTCTATTTAAAGGTTTTGTCAGCTTCAGAGGTGAATACTGACATTTTTGTGCTTTATAAAGAATATTTCCATAAAAAATTGGATGTGAAATACCTGAACGTGTAAGAAGTCTGCATGTTGAGCTATATTTACGAATGATGTCCTTATACCGATGATAAAATTTAGTAAATGTTTTGACTAGTTTGTGATATCGAAAACCCTGGTGTAATAATTTTTCAGTAATACATAAATTTCTCTCGTTAAACATGCATATGTAAACATAGGTGACGACCATTTGATATTGTAGTGGAAGGGGGGGGGGGGGGGTTTGAAAATAAATAACTCAACCGTGATAATAAGAAAAATATGTAGGAGAAAGCAAAAACATATAGTTTTATGGATGTAGCTGCTATTTTTTTTTAGATAAAAAATCCTTAAAAAAAATAAAAGTCAAGTTAAATTTTTTTTTACTAAAATACAAATGGAAAGCAACACTAAGATTTGGGAAGTTTTTTTTCCTAAAAAAAATGAAAAAAAATCAAATTTTGGAAGAATCTGGTGCCATCTCATACTTTAGAATAGCATTTATAAAATGGCTTAAAAGACCTGCCGAGTTATTTATTTTCAATACATTTTAAGTCAGTTTATTTATTTTCAAACTACTGCAGGACAAACCATTATTTTTTCTTATTATCAGGGCTATTTACTGTCAAATTCAATACATTTTCCTGATAAAAACTATATTAAAAATTTGGAACATTTTCATTGATTTAATAGCATAATATAGTATTTGATAAAATTTTACAGGTAAAATAAAAGGTGAAAAATATGACTATAATTCAGAAATAAACTATAATTGTTAAAACAACAATCCACCCTATGTTTACATATGCATGTTATTAAAAGTGGTCAAACCAGGATGACACCATAGCAGGAAACACAAACCTTCTCGACTCATCCGGTCTCGCTCCATTTATAAGTTCATACGAGTCCTTCAGTTTTTGTTTTTGTTTTGCTTCTTATTTCGAAACTCCTGCACTTTTGCCGTTTTAAGGCCATCCGTGGTCATCTGCGTAACCAAGCAAAGTCCTTCTTTTATATTAGTGTACGAATACTTACAGTTTTTTTTTCTGTTAAAATTTCGATTTTGAGCTAGCTACTGGAATTTATTACTCGCTTATTTGTTCAGAAATAAGCCATAATAATGTAATAACGAACCTCAAAATACACATATAAAGATGCGATACTTTGAATTTACATAAAGATTGAAAGACTTTTGAAAATGGCTCTTGTGTGAAATAAACTCCGAGGGAAATTGCCCCACTTCTTTATTCCAAATGTTTTAGACTATGTGGGCGTTTTATGTACATACTGTATAGAAAACTGTTTAGAAGAACTGAACGCCTGAAATGCATAAAAAGAGTAGAGAGTGAAGATATTAAATGATGTAAGAAATTTTAATAACAAAATTTCGTTTATTCAAAAACATTTTAATGTCGAACCGTTAAACTTTAAACGAAGACAAGTATTAACAAGGCGTAGCATTGGAGATCATCAGCTGGAAATTGAAAAAGAAAGAAAAAAAGCGTCTATGTATACTTTGTAAGACAAGGAGGAAGTGAAACATGCTGTTACAAAATTTTGGAAATTATTTTGAATCATGATGATTAAGGATTATATATCCCTCATGCAAAGCTCTGATTCCTTGCTATACTTTTGTCTTTTTTGGTTTATAAACTTTTTTGAATAAGTTTTAGATTCTCCAATATATTTTGTTTGCCTCGAGCATTACTGAAGAGACATTAATTGTCGAAATGCGCATCTGGTGCAGTAAAATTTGTCCCCTTTATGTTATGTTAATGAACTGACCTTGTGAATCATTCCTTTGCCAATTCTTTATATATAATCATTGTAGTAAATTGTTTGTTATTATTCTGCCCTTTGGGGACTCTTTAATTTACAATGAAATCATTGTATTATATTTAAGTGTATTTATTGTTGAAGACTGTATGTTGACATCAAATATATTTCTTATTTTTAAATCGTTGGGTTGCTGTATCATTGACATATACCCCCGCATCACCTGTTATTCATATTACAGAATAATGAAGGTTACTTTTGTTATAGATGGACGAAGAAAACACAAAATGGATGAAGGAATGGGAAGCATCAAGTACGCCTGCATGGGCAATGAAGGGTATTAATCCTTACATAAAAAAATATAAAGATGACCTGACAAAAGGCATGAATTGCTCAAAGCTGTTTTTCCCGATGTGTGGGGACGTAGCAGACATGCATTGGCTCTCTGAACTAGGTCATGACATCGTTGGAGTCGAAATATCTTCAATTGCAATTCAGAAATTTTTCAACGACAACAATCTGAAATATATAGTCACACCTTGCGAGAAATTCAAAGGAAGTTTGTATACAAGCACAACAGGCAAAATCCGAATATATTGTGGAGACTTTTTTCTTTTCGGCACGTCTATAGAATGTGATTTTGACGGTATTTGGGATCGTGGATCCTTCAATATTTTTGACAATTGTGACTTGAAAAAAGACAAAAGCAAATTGAAGAAAGAGTATATAAACATACTGAAATCTGTAATGAAACCAGATTGTCACGTTTTCATTGAATTGGTTATTTTTGACTCGACCACTAAGACAGACGATATTCAAATTTATTTTGGTGAAGACTATCTTGTTGAAGACCTAGGCTTGGTTGAGAAATACGCCCCAGAATATGACAGTTTTCCTATTGAAGGCTTTCAGTTCTTCAGAATTTCCAAAAAAAAAATTAAATTTGTCTGATTAATTTATCTATCATGATTGAATTTATATTTTAACAAATATTATAAGGAAAATAAAACAACGTAAAAACCGAAGTGATATGTTCGATACTAAAGTATTATTTGATTTATTATTCAGTATAAAATAATCAATTAAATGGAAAAAATCCATCGCTCATCATATATTTTTGAAAAAAAATCCCGTTCAAAGCTATATGTTAACAAGAAGTTGTACCCGTTGTCGTGCTAATGACTCCAAAGTCTGTCGAAACCCTGTATCTTGGCAATGCACAAGGTCATGTTTTCTCTGACTGTTAATGACGTCTTTACACTAAATCCATTGGCTGTTCGATGTGTACTGATTGCTATTTTAGTTTTAGATGCATGATTTTTTTTTCATTAGTTGTTATTGGCTTTGAACTAGCTGTCAGTAACTGCGAGTACTCTCAGATCTGTACTTAGTGTATTTTCGTTGTCGGGATGTGTTTTTGTTAGATGTATTTCTGCTTTGGATCGATCTGATGAGTTAAATCCTATTCAACTGATTTTTATAGTTTTTTCTTATGTTGTACTGTTACATCACTGTCCCGGGTTACGGGGAAAGTTGGCGCGCCTTCAATCTAGTTTAACCCCGCCACATTTTGTATGTACCTGTCCCAAGTCAGGAGCCTGTAAGATCCTGTAATTCAGTGAATGTTGTTTGTTGCTGTATATCATATTTGTTTTTCGTTCTTTATTTTGTATATAAATCAGGCCGTTATTTTTTTCGTTTGAATTGTTTTACATTTGTCATTTCGGGGCCTTTTATAGCCGACTATGCGGTATGTGTTTTATTCATTGTCGAAGGCCGTACGACGAACTATAGTTGTTAAGTTCTGTGTCTTTTGGTCTCATGTAGAGAGTTGTCTCATTGGCAATCATACTGCATCAAAATATTTGTTAAAGTAACGACGGACAAGGTGATTGCAATATATAGCTCCAACTTCTATAGTCACAGATTGCTCTGATGTTTGACGGTCTTTGTGTGGCCCCACGATCCCAGCAAGTCATAAAAAAGTCACAGGACGTCAGAGTTATCTTAGGCTACCACTCAAAGGTTTTCCATTAACCGTCTCGAAAATGAATGCCCAAAACAAAAACATAAAATATCTTACCTACTAAAAACAAACATAATAAATAAATAAACTATCTAAATAAACGATTTTGATATTTGGAGAAAGAGAGGGGATAAACAAAACGATATTTGCATAATGGTTAATTTTGATTCTCAAAATTTGAGAAACAATTAAAAAAATGTTTGCATAAACGATTCGGGCTGTCCTGTTTAAGGCAATATTAAGCAAATATATGTTTAAGGCTCCCCAAACTTTCAATAAAAAGTGAATGGCGCACTAGGTTGATTCTGAGGGTTGATTCTCTTCGGAAATATTTAGTATGCCCTTGGCATATACAAATATTAACGGTCGGTATGAGCTTAGGGTTTTTTTCAAATACCGGACGAATTGGCTGCTTAAAGCAAACTATTATTTCGTTATTTCACTTTCATTAATGATCGAACAACGCAAAATCATATTTTATCATTTTTTTTTTAGCTCGTAGCTAATTTCCTTTTAACCAATGCATTTTAGTATTGGTTCAAGTGTATTCATGACCTAAATTCAAGACAATAGGGTGATGGTACACCTTTGTATAAATCTAAAATATACGAGTCTTTGATGAAGAGTTAGGACCAATATCATTGGAATATTTCTTTCAATTAGAGAGGGTCTGGATGGGGTTTACATAATAGAGAATAATGGGTAATGATTACAGAATAAATGAAAAAAGGCAAAGAAAAAAAGAATAGAGAATAATGGGCAAATAATTAAAGAATAAAGAAAAATGACAAAGAAAAATAAAGAAAAATGACCAAGAAAATTAAAGAATACAAAAATGAATGGTCCCCTATTCAGACCCTCATAACAGGGTTAAAATCTAAAAGTTGTCAAGAACAACGTTTATATCATATACTTGAAACGTTTTTCAACAATTCAATAAACCAGAATGTAGTTCAACACTGCGTGTTGCTGTTGACGACATTTTAATACAATATTGCAATTTTTACATATTTTTTTGAAAAGAATTTTTTTTTGGTAAAGAAAGTCCTTCTTTTATATCATTGTATGAATACCAACAGTTTTTTTTCTGTTAAAATTTTGACGATTTTGAGCTAGCTTCTGGAATTTATTACTCGTTTATTTGTTCAGAAATAAGCCATAATAATGTAACAACTTAAAATACACATATAAAGATGCGATACTTTGAATTTACATAAAGATTGGAAGACTTTTGAAAATGGCTCTTGTGTGAAATAAACTCCGAGGGAAATTGCCCTTCTTCTTTATTCCAAATGTTTTAGACTATATGGACGTTTAAGTACATACTGTCTAGAAATCGGTTTAGAAGAACTGAAAGCCTGAAGTGTATAAAAAGGGTAGAGAGTGAAGATATTAAATGTTGTTAGAAATATTAATAACAAAATATGAACTTTGTACATTTCGTTTATTCAAAAACATTTTAATGTCGAACCCTATACATTAATCTGTTCAACTTTAAACGAAGTCAAGTATAAACAAGGCGTAGAATTATTATTTCATTTATATTCAACTTTCATGAATGATTGAACAACAAAAAACATATTTTATTTTTTTTTATATCTCGTAGCTAATGACCCTTTAAACAACACATTCTAGTATTCATGACCTCAAAACAGCAGGGTGAAGGTACAACTTTGTATAAATCTAAACTATGCACTCCATAAAATATAGAATATATCACCCTCACTCTTATCTCATTCGGCAATTATTTTGCTCAAACACCATGTATCCTTACTAAAATTTGTGGTTTCTTAAAAAAAATTTATTAGTTTTGTGAATTTTTAGTGACCAGTATAAGTTCACTGCAACGCCAGTTACCATGATGAGTCAATAATTATCACTATCCTCAGTTTCTGAAAATGCAACCATTTCCCGCTTTATATGCCAGCAAAAATACGAGGTAGTTTGTTAGAAATGAAAGACATTTATTATCATATAACACATATTACCTGCAAATATAAGGAAAATAAGAACGTCTAACCCTTTTAGTGAACCAGTGTAACTCCCTACTATGAAGACGTTCTCGTTACAGTTGCAATTTAATAGTAAATATAAGTTTTGGCGTACAAAATTTTAACCCTGTATCTATGATGAATTTATTTACATCTTTAAAAGAGCTATATTTTTGAAATCAAATATATATTATATATATATATCTTGGAATAAGTTTATACAGAACAGTCAGTCATGTAAGTTTTGAAACTGTTGTAAATGGTAAAACGAACTTTACTTTTACTCATTTAATAATGAAATGATTGTAAAGCGTAAGAGTTGACCACATCTGTTCTGTTTCGTAACACTACATTCTCATTTCCGCTTTCTGTTTAACTGATTTGTTACTTTGTGTAGAGCTAAAATTGCCTCTGAAAATATTAAAAAAATATGCAATCTATGTCACTCAGAAAGACCTATCATAACTTATTTCAAGTTCTTTCATCTTAGTTCTGATTTTTAGGCTCCCATTAACCATATCATCTAAGGGGAGGGGGTGGGGTATTGTTTTGTGAAAAGAAATTGTAGATTATAAATTTCTTGAAAAGAAATTAATTATTATCTTCTGAAGGAAAAAGAAAAAATGGTGTTTTTATAAAAAAAAGTTTCTATTTTTATTCTTCTTTGTTATTGAAAAAAATAGTTGTTTTTTTCATACTAAAGTTAAAAAACCTGGCGACTACAAGTAGAGATACAGTAGTTTTCTTGCATATAAATTTGTCTTTAAGAACATGCGTTTCTTTAAGGCAAAGTGCAGATGACCCGAATTGAAACGATCATAGACTTTAACCAAAATCACCGACAATTCATCTTTTGTGGTGGCGGTTTTTTTTTTATATCTTTTTTGTTATTTTAATAAAAGCAGACTTCTCTTCCAATAACATACAGAAACAAGAATTCTTTTCAAATCAATGCGTTTTTTTCTCTTATTTTCAATAAAAGCAAACTATCTTTTTATTTCCCTTTTGAAAAAGATTATATTAGTAATTTTTTCATAATTTATATACCCCAATATATTTTTTAATGAATGGTCAGTGCTTCAGTGTACTCTGTATCTAGAGTGAAACAGTAAAATTCAGCAATACCGCCATTGTTAAAAAGTCTTAGTATTCAAATAAGAATTTTCATAGTTACGCTTAAAATTAACAATATTGCCATTGCATGATACATTCCAAAATGGTCAGATCATTTGTATTTACATTTGGTTATCCCGGTGCCGTTTATATCGGTATGTGTTTTTGTCATTGTGGAAGCCCTTTTTATGACCTGTAATTGTTCTTACCCGCCTTTGTATTCGGTGGATAGTTTTCTTATGGCAATTCATATCAGATCTTCTTGATTTTTGTACTTCCGGGTGAGAAGAACAAAATTGGTGTTCGTAATCGACGTTTTCATGGTCCAGTGCTCACAAAGTTTTGCGTTTGTCTGGAACTTGCATTTTTTTTTTAAAAAGAAACTACTGCAAGAGTTTTTTATATTGGTTAAGTTTCTTTTTCTAAAATATATGGTAAGCCTCTAGGGAACACAGGTTATTTTTAATTTTTTTTGTACATGTAAACTTAAAAATCATTGACGAAACTTTCTATAACAAAAGCATAACTTGTGTAAAAAATTACCTCCCTATAACCCCTTAATTCTTTTAATGGTTTAAAATCCACACAGTCTTCATACTGGTATACTTTATCATCTAGATTTTATTTAATTTAAGCTATTTGTATACAGTTTACAGTTACCTATTTCACCGAGTCTTCCATCTTTGTCGGAATCTCCAATATTCATCAATCTAATTGACATTTTTGCAGATTTGTCGAAGTCGAACTTTATATGATGCCGATAGAAGTTGTAAATTTCATTGCTGTCTAAGTATTTGTCTTTGTTGACATCTCCAAGTTTAAACAAGTATTCTGCAAGAGCAAAATCACCAAATAAACCTTCCTGTCTCTTTTCAACTGTCTCCTACAAAAATATATAATCGCATGTTTGTATATGGCGTTTTAGTTAACGTGATCGTAAAGGTGACGGTATCACTTTTTGATCACCTGAATTTGAAAATCAAAAACTATTAAAAATCTACCAAATAACATCATTCAGATGTTCACAAGGCTGTCGGAACAGCAAAATTTCAAAATAGCCTCATTTTGAGATCTTGTCGTCATTAATTAGGATCAATTAGATATGAACATCAGCATTACCCAAAACTATATTTTGCTACAAAATGTATTTTACAAAGATATTAATGTGTTTAAAATATCTGTTTGGTTAAAGGTATTGCTCGGATGTATTTTTACCAAAAAATATGTAAGGAGTGGTCATTTTAGGTCAAATACCCAATTTCGACATGTTTATGTCATCATAGTGACATCATAAGATTTGTATAAGGTACGGTCAATTTATGTCTTAATTAAGCTATTTTTGTGAAAAAGAGCCCATAGTTTTGAAAGGTTTGGATCAGGTTTTTTTAGCAATTTCAGGGGCCAAAAATTGGATCTCGTCATATCCTCCTTTTTCTCTGGGACAAATTTTCTAAACGTTAAATACTCTATATAAAGTATAGATACACAAAAAATATATGCTTCAACAAAATTGATTTTTTTAATACTCCCGCCCATGTCGAAATGTCGGTGCAGATTGCAAAATATACCCTGTCGTCCCACATATGGTACGTGGTTTGTTTGGTTAGTTCCTACAGTTTTAAAGCTAGAACTTTTATGTCAGCAGTTTTTTTTAAATATACTAAGGATAATGGTGTGTGTATTGTTATGATTGCGATTTTCTAGAAAATTTCCCCGAGGGTATCATCAGCTGAGTAGTCAGCACTTCGGTACTGGCATGATTTATAACAAACTGTCTGAAATTGTTCGTTTATAAATTTTGAAATTATACTGAAACTGAGGTTTCAACTCCCTCAGGAAAAGTTGGCCTTAGATGGATTTGCCTATAATGGTTTACTGTTATAAATTGTGACTTGGATGGAGAGTTGTCTTTATACATCCATGACTTTCAAATATTCGGCTTTGAGCGTTCCTGATGAAGGTAAATCAAGAAAAGCGCTTCGGACGCATCTAATTTATAACGTGTTGTTTTCAATTTTTACAAATGACATGTCATGATGATGTTGAACTTTGCCATTATTTGGGGGGAGTATGATACTTTGTTTGTCCGGTCACTCCCCCTTAAATTTTTAAGTTACCGCTTTTGTATTGTAATTGTTTGCATATGTGTTATAGTCAAATCTAGGTCTAACCTCAAATCTGTGTCCTAAATTTAAGCTTTGAAATTTATAAGGAACAATAGTCAAAAATTGTCTTCATAATGGAATAAATTGTAATCGGCACGGGAATCATCAGCAAATCATTTGTACCTCATCATTACTGTTTATTGCGGCGGGTGTCATCTTTGTTTAATTTAACATAACTATGCTGTTTTCGATGAAATAAATGAATTACATGCAAAGCTTAGTTTATAGTAAACTCTTGATTCGAAAACAATACTTTCCAAGTGTCGATAAACGAGAGAAAAATACATTATTTTTCATCCCATCTTTGAAGAAAATAACTATTTATCTATATCAAAATTCATGCAAATGAGACAACTTACTATCCTCCAGAGACCACAGGACGAGGATAGAAGCAACTATGTATCATCGTACGACCTTCAGAAATGAGCACAACCAATAACGTATAGCAAACTATAAAATGCCCATGGATGACAAGATGGAAAACAATTCAGAAGAGAAAAAAACGGTCTGATTAAAGTAAAACAATAACAGAAAACAAATATGTAACTCGGACAACCAACGACAACCATTATTTCAGGCGCTTGACGTGAGCTAGGCACTTGAAGAATGGGTAGGGGTGAAATAAGTTTATGATGACTCAACCCTCCGTTAACTTTGATCAGTAGTGTAAGAGCACCACACAAGAATAACATGTAACAATCGGTTGGCAAGGGCTCAACAAAAAACTGTTCTAATTTTTAAAACAAAATAAATGTTAGTACCGATAGAAACAATATCTAAAGATCTTACTATAATTTTGAATTGATAGATAACCTTTAAGAATGAGTTTAATCAATGGACACAGTCATAGCGAATGAATTCGGACATTTGTCGTACGTTCCTGTAGGTATATCACCCTGCTTATTCGCTCGTTAATTTCGCCTGGACCGAGGGTAAAACTGTCTGACATAAAAATGAATAGACATGGTACAGAAACATATTATCGGGTTTATTGTATAGATATCGTAACAAATTGCTCTGATGTCCGACGGCTTGTTTTGGAATGGTTCGGATTGTTGGATGCCATAGCAAGGTTTATGTAGAAAACATGGAAATTGCCGATTAAGAATTCGGGTTACGTGACAAATTGACCAAAATGAAAGTACATCGCCGAAATAGGAGAGTTGAGGGTAGCAAATCTTAAGTTTGTGGCACTGTGCAGAGGAAAGAGTTGTCGGTGAATAACAGGTTAGTCTTGGTGGAGATATACAAATAAGGAATCAAATTCAGTATGGTCAGCTTGGCAAGTGGAGTTATTACGCATTCTAACCACAAACTTATCGCTTAAAGTCTTGGTCGGTAATTTCTATGTCTTTTAAATGGACGGCGCTTGACATTCCCACCTTGCAAAATAGTCCCCAACGTCAGACGTCATATCAATCACGACCTTGAATCACCCAAAGGGAAAATTGAACGTTAGACTATCATGGCTTTGTTCCAAAAACTTCAAATGTTGATATTGTAATGTCATTTATTTGAAACCAAACAAGTGAAACTGCGAGCTACTGCTCACTGATGATACCCCCACCCAAATATTTCGGTAAACAGGAAGTTGTTGAGTGATGAATCTGAAAACGCATCACACGGTAAAGCTGACTTATATAAACCATGAAACCAAATTTCAGAAATCCTTGTATTGTAGTTTCTGAGAAAAATGTGACGAAAATTTTCAACTTGGCTATCATTTGTAAAATATGATACAAGTATCCGGTAAACAGGAAGGTGTTGAGTGATGAATCTGAAAACGCATCACACAGTATAGCAGACTTATATAAACTCTGAAACCAAATTTCAGAAATCCTTGTAATGTAGTTCCTGAGAAAAATGTGACGAAATTTTTCTACTTGGCTATCATGTGTAATATGATACAAGTGTTCGGTAAACAGGAAGTTGTTGGGTGATGAATCTGAAAACGCATCACACGGTATAGCTGACTCATATAAACCATGAAACCAAATTTCAGAAATCCTTATGATGTAGTTCCTGATAAAGATGCGACGAAAAATATTCATGGGACGGACGGACGGACGGACTGACGGATGGACTGACGGATGGATGGACTGACGGACAGACAGAGGTAAAACAGTATACCCCACTTTTTTAAAGCGGGGGTATAACAAAAAGAATCAACACCTTAGAAAGTAAGAAATATAAATGCTTTTATCCACGTAATTTGAACACTCGTATGGAGGATAGTTGTCTCTTTGGTAATTATACCACATCTCCTTACTTTTATATAGTTTATATAGTAAATTTACATTGTTCCTTAATGTAAACGAGAATCAATTCAAATTTAGATTTACTATTAGTTATTATATACCTTCATTCAAGGATTTGTATAGTGAGTCTCACTGTACAAATCCTTGCTTTATTACAAAAGAATATTTCTTGTTCGTCTCCTCTCTTTTACAACCACTGGGTCGATGTCTCTGCTGACGGGCAACATGTCCCTGGGGACATCTTCCGCCCAGTAGCATAATATGCATGAAGTTACTAAGATCAAAAAGAAAACTAGCTCGGACGTTGACCAGTATAAAAAGGTCAGACGAAACAGACGTCACCATGGACACGGTGTCGTCTGATATGGCTGGTGTCCCCACATCACCAGACATGACAAATATCCCTAATATGACACATTCAGATCATCATAATAATGACAACAGCAATAATCTACGTTCGCAGCCGTGTTCAGTTCTTCTACAAGACATTTTGGATTTTAATGACTCTGAACAACACTGTCTCATTTCGAAATGTAAAACCAAAAACTGTAAAACCTGTAATATTTTAATAACAGATGCTCAATTCACTAGCAGTTTAACTAAAAGTCTTATTTTACCAGAAGCTACGATGATCTGAAATGTAAATCAACAAATGTCGTCTACGGATTAGAGTGTAACCTTTTCGGATTGGTATATGTCGGTGAAACGAAAGGAAGGCAAAATAAACCTATGTGCGGCCATATATCAAACATCAACAACAATGCAAGCGACATTGTTTACCAGCATTTTAACCGGCCTGATCATTCAATCCTTTCTATGCAGGTTCGTATCATCGAAAAAATATACTACAGGACTAATAATCCTCATCTTGCAACATCTCTCCGTAGACAAAAAGAAGATTACTGGATTCGACAATTGGGAACTGCGACACCATATGGTTGCAATGTTGAAAAAAATATGGTTAAGGTATTCTATCTAGTCCTTCCTGTAGCTCGGTGAATGTGACGAACATTTTAAACTGTACTCTTCGACGTAGACGCAGTCATGGTCATCGTCATTATACATCACCTACTCTCCACGATGTCTCTATTAATGACCTGCTGTCACTCATACAACGCCGTTAGGTATTCATCGCATTCGCACGAAGCTTTATTTATTACCCCTTTCAAAACTTCATTCTCTTTACAACCTATGTTTGGAAACCTCTGTTACAAACCCCCATTCAAAGCAATACAAACTTACAGCTATCACCTCGGATATTGCAAGTCACAGACTTTTCAAACCAGTTCGCATTGGAAAAGATGAAAATGAGAAAGGATCCTTTCTAAAACTTTCCTTTGCCAAAAACGGTCTCGATGCCATCAACTTGGGCAATATCCTTCATCATAAATCAGTTCACTCAAAAATACACCCTCTTTTAAAGATCAGTCTGTACCTATCATTTCTTATACCTATACCAA